TTCTAGGTGGATGAAAATCTTAGGAAAGCAACAACCATTCAATGCAGAAGGCAAACTAGGAAATACAGGAAAATATCTGACTTGAGGTCATGGATAGAGTTCATAAAAGCCACAAGAAAAAAGATTGAAAAAAAAAATTTAGTAGATTAAGAACTTTCTGTTCATCAGCAAAATGCCACAGAAAGTAAAAAGACAGCGGGGCGTGGTAGCATATTCCTGCAACCTCAGTGCTTTGGGAGGCCAAGGCAGGAGGATCACGTGAGCCCAGGAGTTCAAGACCAGCCTGGGTAACATGGCAAAACCTCATGTCTACAAAAAAATACAAAAATTAGCTGGGTGTGGTGGCATGTGCCTGTATGCCTGTAGTCCCAGTTACTCAGGAGGATGAGATGGGAGAATGGCTTTAGCCTAGGTCAAAGCTGCAGTGAGCCATGATCATGCCACTGCACTCCAGCCTGGGTGACAGAACAAGACCCTGTCACCAACAAACCCAAAAAGCAAAAAGAAAAAAGACCAGCCAAAAGAGACAAACAGAAATCCTGGGCAATGGGTTTTGTTTTTGTTTTTGTTTTTTGGAGACAGAGTCTTGCTGTGTCGCCCAGGCTGGACTGCAGTGGCGTGATCTTGGCTCACTGCAACCTCCACCTCCTGGGTTCAAGCGGTTCTTGTGCCTCAGCCTCCCGAGTAGCTAGGATTACAGGCGTGTGTGACCATGCCCAGCTAATTTCTGTATTTTTGGTAGAGATGGGTTTCTCCATGTTGGCCAGGCTGGTCTTGAACTCCTGACCTCAGGTGATTCGTCCACTTTGTCCACCCAAAGTGCTAGGATTACAGGTGTGAGCCACTGTGCCCGGCCCCTGGGAAATGTTAGTGTAATGCAAGGGAGTTGCATCCAGAGCATATAAAGAATTCCTGGCCAGGTGCGGCGGCTCACTTGAAGTCAGGAATTGAAGACCAGCCTGGCCAACATGGTGAAACCTCGTCTCTACTAATAATACAAAAAAAACAATTAGACAGCCGTGGTGGCAGGTGCCTGTAGGCCCACCTACTTGGGAGGCTGAGGCAGGAGAATCGCTTAAACCTGGAAGGCGGAGGTTGCAGTGAGCTGAGATCACACCATTACACTCCAGCCTAGGCAACAAGAGTGAAAACTCTGTCTTAAAAGCAAAAAGTAAAAAAGTAATAAAGTCCTGTCTGACTTTGTGCTCTAGAGATGAAGAATCATTACATGTTCCACAGAGTAGGCATGAACGTTTTCACATGCTACCACATGGCCACCTGTTAGCCTTGCAGGGGGAAAATAACATTACAGGTTTTCAGGAAAACTGCTGAAGCTTTCTTTTTTTTTTTTTATCATTACCAGAATGTTGGCCATCATTGCCCCCCTCTGAGTTGAATGCAAGGACTCAAGTGCACACACCAAAGCTGGCCATTGGTGACTATCACTAGAGGCCACTGTTCAGCCTTCCATCCACTCTCAAGTGCACTCAACATGAAGGGACAGAAAAACCCTTTCCCCATCTCTGCAGGACAGAGTGCAGGAGGTGGCTGGGACTACCCTCACCACTCCCTTGAAATCAGCACTTCCCTAGGCCTTGTGTTTACCTTGTGCGCTTTGCTTTGTGTTTTCGGTGCCATTCCCCGCCGCTTCCTAGGTGTCTGAGCACTGCCACACAGCATCTCTGTCTCTGTCTGCTTTTTGTACTTGAGTTGCTGTGTGAAAGTCAGAAGCACCAGTGATAAACCTTAGGAAGAGAGCAGGCCTGGGAGGGGAACAGAAGCAGGGCCCAGAATCTAGGCTCATGTCTCTGCAGACAGAGCTAAAAAGAGCTGCCATGGGCTCCCAAGTCAACAAACCCCGGTCCCTGGCAGAAACTCTGGGCTGCTCAGATGACCATCTTACTTACTCTTTCCTGTCTGTCTCTCTCTCTCTCCAGTCGACGCATCTCCCATTGCTCTGCCACATACTCCATAAATTTCTGCCCATTTACCAGAAATGTCTTTGAATGTTCCTGTTCCCACAGTTCAATCTGTGCCTTCAACTCCTCTTCCAGCTGAGACCAGAAAGAAAGACGTGTTCATAACTTCAAATCTTTTTTGTAAAGCCCAAATGAAATGACTACCCTAGAGAATGACTCCTCCACCCCAGAGCATCATTAACCTCACTTCAGGTAGCTGGGCACACAGGCTACAGGTCAGAGTGACCACAAATCAAAGCCTGGGACATTTCATTCACACCATATACCAGAGTGGAAAATGGCAAGAACCCAAAGTTTGACCACGAAGGTTTTGGTGCCTGAAGCTGGAGGCAGCATAGGGAAGATCAACAATATGAGGCAAGCAGTGAACATGAAGAACAGGACTCTGGAATCAGACTTAATGGGGTTCAATCTGGAATTGCCCTCTTACTCCTGTGAAGCAGTCAGCAAATTTACATCACTTTTTTTCTTTTTTTTTTTTGATAGAGTCTCACTTTGGCGCCCAGACTACAGTGCAGTGGCATGACCTCGGCTCATTGCAACCTCCACCTCCCGGGCTTGTGCCTCAGCCTCCTGAGTAGCTGGGATTACAGGCATGTACTACCACACCTGGTTAGTTTTTGTATTTTTAGTAGACACGGAGTTTCGTCATGTTGGCCAGGCTGGTCTCGAACTGCCTGGGCTTCCAAAGTGCTGGGATTCCAGGAGTGAGCCACCACATCCAGCCAGATTTACCTAACTTCTTAGTACCTCAGTTTCCTTGTCTGTACAAACGGATATAATACCAACCTCACAGGGATGTTGTAAGGATTAGATGAATTACTAAATGAGAGTGTTTTGAAATGATATCCCCGACACTCAAAAAGTGGTTATTATTATCAAAGTGGAAAATGGTAATGAAGCTGACAAGACTCTCTCTCAGAAGCTTTCCTGATGTAACTGGCTGAATTGTGTTCCTCTCAAATTCAAATGTTGAAGCCTTAACCCCCAGTACCTCAGAATGTGATTGTATTTGGAGACAGCATCTTTACAAAGAGAATTAAGGCCAGGTGTGGTGGCCCATTTCCTGTAATCCCAGCATTCCTGAAGCCCAGATGGGAGGACTGCTTGAGGCCAGGAGTCCAAGACCAGCCTCATCAACATAGTGAGACCCCCATCTCTTGGGGGAAAAAAAAAGAGAATTAAGCTCAAATGAGGTCATCAGGTGGGCCCTAATCTCATATGACCAGGAGTGATTAGGCCACACACATCACAGGAAAACCATGTGCGGACACAGGGAGAAGACGACCGTCTACAAAGCCAAGGGGAGAAGGCTCAGAAGAAACCAGCTCTGCCAATGACATGTGCATCTCAGATTTGCAGCTTCTAGAGTTGTGAGAGAATGAATTGCTATTGTCAAAGCTGCCCAGTCCGCAGTGCTTTATGACGGCAGTCCTAGCAAAGGAGTGTGCTTTGATACTCAGTTGCTTATATGGAATGTATAACTTATTATCTCTACTGAAGCTTTGAAGAAAATACTTTTGAGGCAAAACAACAGAAAGAAAAAGACATACAAATAGTGAGGTATCTTTGCAGCCAAGCACCAAAAACCCTTAGCAACAATATTACCTTAGGCAGCGTTTTCTGGAGCTTGGCTCGTTGTTTTTCTTCTTTTAGAAGGTTTCCTCCCCGATTGGTAAATCGATTCGGATCTGAAGCTTTTCTCTGTGAAAAATACAGTTAGTGGAAAACCTGGCACCGTAAGACCAGTAACTTCTGCAAAGACGCTTTGTTCTCAAAGAATGACATATATGATTAAAGCCACTCAAAGAGGTCTGCATTCCTGCCTGCTCCCGGCAGTGAGGAACTGTGATGTTCTAAAGCCAGTGAGCTGCGGACACTCTCACACACGGGCAAGATCATTCACTGGGGTGCAGGAAAACTGTTTCTTTTTAATCTAGAAAGACAGGCTCTAATGTTTAACATCACTGGCTTCCTTCATTGGTTTGGATGTCAGATGATGACGTCTCTCCAGAAGACAGGTATGTGAAGGGACAAGGAGGAGGGTCTCCACTCAGAAATCTGATGGGGGTGCCTTTAGTTGCTCACTCACTGCCGGCATTCTGAAACAATGCAGCTTCAATGTGCACAGTGAGGAGATTTATCGATAATTTGGTTTTTGCTAAATTTACCCTTAAAATGGATGTTAAAAATGTAAAATGTTTGCCAGGAGCGGTGGCTCACGCGTATCATCCCAGCACTTTGGGAGTCTGAGCCGGCGGATCATCTGAGGTTAGGTGTTCAAGACCAGCTACTTGGGAGGCTGAGGCAGGAGAATCGCTTGAACCCGGGGGGCGGAGGTTGCAGTGAGCCGAGATCGTGCCATTGCACTCCAGCCTGAGTGACAGAGCAAGATTCCGTCTCCAAAAAAACAGCTGAAACAAAAACACATAAACTAGGGCAGTACCTCAAACTCTAAGAAAAGCCTCCAGCTTTCTTCCCACTTCCGGACATCTTCAAAGAGTTCCCTGTGAGCTTCATAATAGTTTCTTAACCGCACAATCTCAGCATCATGGAGTTGGAGCAGATTTTCTGTGTATTCCTCTGCAAAATATAGGCCCAATATTTTAAAACAATTCGTCTAGTGTTTAGTATCCAATTTTTCCCATTCCCTAAGGTGGAAATAGGTTTTTTTTCCTTATAGTAAAATGATACAGGAACAGGCGTGTGTGTGCAATAGATGATAGTGGTTAATAAAAACCAGCTTTGTCACAATCGGCCTGGGAGACTGGAGTCTAAGAGACTAGTATAGAGACTAAAATATGTCAAAAATCTGCATCATCTCTTGCCTTGTCTCAGGTTTCTTTCATAGTCCTCCTTTTTTTTTTTTAAAGAGACAGGGTCTCGATATGTTGCCCAGGCTGGACTGCAGTGGTTTGACCTGCTCCATTTCCGACCTGGGCTGGTTCACCCCTCCTTAGGCAACCTGGTGGTCCCCCACTCCTGGGAGGTCACCAGATTGATGCCGAACTTAGTGCGGACACCCGATCGGCATAGCACACTACAGCCCAGAACTCCTGGGCTCAAGAGAGCCTCCAGCCTCAGCCTCCCGAGTAGCTGGGACTATAGGCACACGCCACCGCGGCCAGTGGCTCATATTCTTCCTTTCTGTCCTGCCCAGCCAGTAGATGGGGGAATCACAGAAAATGTGCAAAAATAGCTATTGAATTTAGTTGGGATAGCTTCATTTTTACACTTAGTTCGGCTCAGACTACAATTCCACTGGGCTCCAGGAGGCAAGCTCCTTTTGGCTCCGACGGAGGCTCTGGCATTTCCCACTGTATGTCTCTGGATTAAGTTACTCAGCATGTATGTGCTTTAGTGTCCTCACCTCTTGACATGAGGAGTCTGTGGAATAATATTGTCAAGGGTTTGACACTGCACCTGGCAGGAAGGAAGCCCCTGACAGAAACTGAAGCTTCACAGCTAGAGCCTACAGTGACACACTGCTTCAGAAAGCAAGAGGCCAATATTTCCCAATAATATTTGCAAATGCTCTTCCATACAGGAATGGCAGTTATACTCAATGTCTTGAAAAGCTGGCATCATCTGTTCAGAAGAGGAAACACTTCTGGGGAATGTCTGCACTTGTTAAAAACTAGTGAGCAGGTCACAGGAAGACGCCATTTCTGGCTGGGTGTGGTGGCCCAACACTTTGGGAGGCAAGTGGGGGATTGTTTGAGCCTAGGAATTTGAGACCAGATAACAGTAAGACCTGTCTCCAAACAAACCAACCAAGACTTCACTCCCGTACTCACCAGTATGGAAAGGGGCAAAGGCTTGTCTCTGCTCCTGGCTGTAAAAGCACTGGTCCCAGTGCTGAGCCAGCTCCACTCGAGTTGCCTCAATCAGTTTCTTCAGGTTTTGCATTTTTCGTTCTTCCAACCGATCCACTTCTAATTGCAGCTGAAAGAAAGAGGCTTNTTAAAAGAGACGGGGTCTCGCTATGTTGCCCAGGCTGGAGTGCAGTGGCTATTCACAGGTGCGATCTCACTACTGCTCAGCACGGGAGTTTTGACCTGCTCAGTTTCTGACCTGAGCTGTTTCACCCCTCCTTAGGCAACCTGGTGGTCCCCCCGCTCCCGGGAGGTCACCAGATTGATGCCGAACTTAGTGCGGACACCCGATCGGCATAGCACACTACAGCCCAGAACTCCTGGGCTCAAGAGATCCTCCAGCCTCAGCCTCCCAAGTAGCTGGGTCTACGGGCATGTACCACCGTGGCCAGTGGCTCATGTTCTTCCTTTCTGTCCTGTCCAGCCAGTAGATGGGGGAATTACAGAAAATGTGCAAAAACATCTGTTGAATTTAGTTGGGATAGCTTCATCTTTACACTTAGTTCAGCTCAGACTAGAATTCCACTGGGCTCCAGGAGGCAAGCTCCTTTTGGCTCCCACAGAGCTCTGGCATTTTCTACTGTATGTCTCTGGATTAAGTTACTCAGCATGTATGTGCTTTAGTGTACTCACCTCTTGACACGAGGAGTCTGTGGAATAATATTGTGAAGGGTTTGACACTGCACCTGGCAGGAAGGAAGCACCTGACAGAAACTGAAGTGACACACTGCTTCAGAAAGCAAGAGGCCAATATTTCCCAATAATATTTGCAAATGCTCTTCCATACAGAAATGGCAGTTAGACTCAATGTCTTGAAAAGCTGGCACACTTCTGGGGAATGTCTGGACTTGTTAAAAACTAGTGAGCAGGCCACATGAAAACCCCATTTCTGGCTGGGTGTGGTGGCCCAACACTTTGGGAGGCAAGGGGGGGATTGTTTGAGCCTAGGAATTTGAGACCAGACAACAGAGTAAGACCTGTATCCAAACAAACCGACCAAAGACCTCACCCCCGTACTCACCAGCATGGAAAGGGGCAAAGGCTTGTCTCTGCTCCTGGCTGTAAAAGCACTGGTCCCAGTGCTGAGCCAGCTCCACTCGAGTTGCCTCAATCAGTTTCTTCAGGTTTTGCATTTTTCGTTCTTCCAACCGATCCACTTCTAATTGCAGCTGAAAGAAAGAGGCTTACTAAAGGTGGCTGCCATACTTCTGTATGCATTTAGGTTTGCAAAAGTTTCCCCCCTTTTAAGTAAAATTATAATGCAAAGCCATAGAGGTATTATAAATCACTTTTTTTTTTTTAGACAGGGTCTCTTTTTCTCACCCAGACTGGAGTGCAGAGGCGTAATCTTGGCTCACCGTTACCTCTGCCTCCCAGGTTCAAACGATTCTCCTGCCTCAGCCTCCCAAGTAACTGGGGTTACAGGCGCACACCACTACCACCCAGCTCATTTTTATATTTTTAGTAGAGACGGGGTTTTGCTGTGTTGGCCAGGCTGGTCTTGAACTCCTGACCCCAAAAGATCCACCCGCCTCAGTATCCCAATGTGCAGGGCTTACAGGTGTGAGCTACTGCACCCAACCAAAGCAACACTCTTTATAACTAACACAGAAGTGCTGAGAGAAGACTGCTGACCCAGCACCCATTGGGTTTCTTACCGCTTTCCGAACCTTGGCTTTTGACCCAGACATAATGGTGGCCACAGCTTCTCTCTCTTCTTCAGGTATTTGCAGCCTGTCCCAGAGCTCTCGGATTTGAGTGCGCAGAGCCTCACACACTGCTTCATTTTGTAATTTCTGCATTTCTAGCTGCAGTACAGAAAGCCAGTGTCATTCACAGCAAAGCAGAAGCACAGAGACTAGCCCTCTGGCTTCCTACAAAGAAACGTCTGGGTGCACAGGGAGAGGGGCCCTTCCATGAGAGTTCAAAGCAGTGTTTTCATGCCTTCTAAACACAAGCTGTAAGGCTGTCAGGATCTCAGACTCCAAGAATTAGCATTCAAATTTAGAACTGAAAGGAACGTTTAAAACACGAGGCAAACTCAAATGACTAATATTATTTCATCTATAATTTCAATTTCATTTTCTTGGAGCTACATATAAAGTTTTTTTAACCGTTACAAAACAGAAATCAAGATTGTCTGTATTACTATCATTATTGTCTCTCATTCTCTTACCTGCGTTGGCTCCTTATTTAAGACTGAAGAAAAACTGGTTTTTGTTGTTGTTGTTTTCTCTGAGACAGTCTCGCTCTGTTGCCCAGGCTGCAGTGCAGTGGCACGATCTTGGCTCACCGCAACCTCTGCCTCCCAGGTCCAAGCGATTCTCCTGCCTCAGCCTCCCAAGTGGCCGGGATTACAGGCATGTGCCACCACGCCCAGCTAATTTTGTATTTTTAGTAGAGATGGGGGTTTCACCATATTGGCCAGGCTGGTCTCAAACTCCTGACCTTGCGATCTGCCCGCCTCGTCCTCTCAAAGTGCTGGGATTACAGGCGTGAGCCACCACACCCAGCAACTGTCAGTTTTTCAAACTGCTCTATACTAGGGAGATCCCAGGGATAATTTGAGAAGTACCTGCCGTAGCAACTTCTGTAGTGTTGCAATATTCTCCAAAGACAAGCAAAAGGCATCTTCGTCTTCACACACCACATCTCTTTCAAAGCTTGTGTCTGGGGTGTGGTCTAATTCCTCCATACACAGTATGATCTGTCTCTTTATACTGACAAACTCCGCACGCCTAGAAGCCTTTAAAACAAAACAATTACAAGACACCTAGAGGAAAACCAAAGTGACTTTTAGGAAGTATGAATGTAGGCAGTGTACCTTTGTTTCCCTCAAAGTTGCCACATGTTGCCTGAACTGGTTCAGCTCTTCTAAGCTGGGCACTGAGG